TTGCCCCCGCCTCGCTGATGAGACTCGTCTCCGTGGCGACTCGACCGGGACCCAGCTGCCGGCAAAACCCATTAGCGGTCAAAGCAGCCCGTTGGTTGAGCTTTTAACTGGCCGCAAGGAAACCTCCATCGCGAGAGTGATGTTTATAGCACACAGAAGCGAGGAACTGGAGCTGCCAAAACCATTTAGTGGGTGTGCATTTGGTCGAGTAGACTCTCTTATTGCAGTGGCCCTGTAAAACACGTTGAGCCAATATGCTGACATGATCGATCGGCTTGATGCTGCTCTGACGTTTCGGGTCAATCGGACCCATTTATGAAACATTTTCAAATTGAAGTAATACTGACATGTAATCAATAGGATTCATTGTCCCCATGAGTGAAACTTTCAAACTGAGTCTGGAGTTTGCACAAATACACTTTCGCAATGCCAATCTGGGCCATAAATGCCCAATCTATAAATAGTCCCTGTAGTATGGAAAGGATTAAATTGAAGTCTCATTTCTGAAGACATTCCCCAAATCACATGACGCGTAAGGGTCTCCGAGGGGGCCGCAGCATTGATCCGCCCATTTTCCCCATCAGCTGCTCCTAAGGCCGAGGTACAGTCTAAACCCAGTCACATGTCTGGCATGTTTACTCTGCTCGGCTCACATTGCCTGCAGCCAAATACATTTCTAGCCACTTGTGATCATTTATGAAATGACTTACGAGGCCACACGGGGCCCTAAGCAAAATTGGATTTTGGATCCCTCCTTTACATTCATTGTTGAATGTCCACTCGAATGATGTGATGAGCATACGAACTCAGAAAAAAAAAATAATACAGACTTGGGTTGAGTGATAAGTGATACACTGAAAATAACAACAACAAAAGCATACTATGCAGTCTTCCTGCAGGTTTGTGTTCAATTAAAACAGGCCCACAGTTCACTTTCAATTTGCAAGTAAATTCGGATGAGATTATCACTATTTGAGTATTCAAAATTTTTGTGATTTTTTTTGTCTGTAAGCTTTTTCTCCTGTCAAATGAGAGCCTAGGTCTGTTGCAAAACACCGCTATACTGTATACAAGCATAATAAAAGTAGTCAAGCAGTGGTGGGAGGGGGCTCCCAAATCAAATTCTAGTTGGCCCCTGCACTGTAGGCACACTTGATTGGCTTTTGCAGCCAAATAAAATGATGTGGCAGGCCAGATGTGGCCCGTGGGCCTTGAGTTTGACACCTGTGATCGACACCGAGATGCAGATAGCTCTCTTTGGTGCACTGGAGTTGACAACAAACAGAGGCCTTTATTAAATTAAATAACCATAATAAAAAGAAGTTAAAATAACATTTAAAAAAGGAGGGCAGTGGGGGTTTCACCCCCCACCCAGGAAATGTCCATCTAATATAATCGATTTTGTGACAGCAGTCACATCTGCTCTCTTCAGGCGACCAAACAAGGAGGGGTTATGAAAGTTTTATTTCCGAAGCCTATCTGCACTTTTTTTTTTGCACGCACGGTGTGGCGAAAAACAGTTCGAAGTCACGCAAATGTGCGCAAAAAGTGACTTGAGGAGGTTGACAGAGTGGCACAATGGAAGGTGGAGCAGGAAAATAACACGGAGAAGGAAACAACGTACCTTCATACGGAAGTAAAACAAATTCGGCGTCTTCCTATCTTCCCTCCACCGTTGGGCGAGTTGCAAGGTATCGCGGCAAAAAGAACTCCCCCGCCCCACAAAAGTCGTCCTGTGCCCGGGCGAGAGCACAGCAAAACGAGGCGCTCCGCTTCCGCTCGCGGATCCCAGCTGCTCGAGCTCCTTGTAGTTGTGTGTCACGGTTGGTGTGGAAAAAGCAAGCAACCGTCAGCCACCTGAGGCCGTGAGCGTGAGCGCGCGTGCGAAGCTCGGCCGGTTGCTCCACCGGGCGTGTGCACGTGAGCGCGCGAGATCCATACGCGCGCGGTCTCCAAAACCGAGAGCGCGGCCGTCCTCCCCCTGCCGAGGCCTTTGTTGACGCGACTGCGAACTAATGAATCAATCGTCGATTTTCACTCACTCCGAGCATGGGTGTGGCATTGATGTGTGGGTCCCCCCCCCCAAACACACACACACACACACAAAACAAAAACACATTTCATAATCATATTTTGTGAGTGAGGAAGAGGGTATGTCTTGACTTGAAACAAATCCTGAATTAACTCCAGTATGGTGCAACTCCTCCGGGCGGTTTTACAGATTCTTGCTCAGTATCATGATAGATTTCAATTCAAGGTTGACAACATTCATAGAGACGTTCTTCCATGGCGTGAAAACTGCTCAAAGAATCGATCAATAGCATGCAGGCTGATTTGGTTTTGACGCATCCTTTACGTAGTGTACATCGGGTGGATATACAAAAGTCCACACAACCACGATGGTGCTCCACAACAGCAATCGCCGCTTTTCTATATTTGGTCGTACAATTTAACATGACCGCTGCTGTGCCTTTTTGTCTGGCACAAACCAAAATCCACTTCCTGGTGTTAGGAATGAGGATCATTGTTACGGAAACTTTCTTTTGTTTCCGTACTTCCTCTTGCTCACACGCCAGCCTGCACTTAAGATTGTTTTTGTTTTTTTTTCCTCATCTGTGACCTTGGGATAGGACCTGTTATGAACACATCACTTCCGACTCATGTAAACATGTGTGAATGACTTGACGAACTTGTTCTTTGCTTGAACAGGGTTTAATTCCTGACGACACCATTTAATGGAAGGAGCAACATTCAATTGTCACCTTTGCTTTTTTTTCCCCTTCTAAAGAAATGTGCACAATCACTCGTACTTGCATAGCAAATGATCCCAAAAATGACTCTATTAGTCGCACTGGCGTCAGCAACATAAAGAAAAACGTGCTGGCCAGCACCGTGCTGCGTTCTGTAGTTTGCTCGTTCAAAAAATGTAACACGGAACGTGCACTCGAACCCTGAAATCCACATGAAAGTTAGTTCGGATTTTACTCATGACCATCAGGATCTATAACAACTGAAAAGAATGTTCTTCATCGGGGCAAATCAAATGTCGAAAATGTGCTTATTCAATGATTATTTGAAATACTGTGTGGGTAATGAAATTTAACGCGCTCCTTCCAGAAGTTTGAGCCATTGAATAAATGTAGTATTCTGTGTCGTTTAAAAAAAAAAAGTGTAACACGCCTATTTTCCAACAATAGCAATCATTATCTGCTTGTTTGCTCATTTTTAAATGTGTTTCACCATCGCCCCCTACTGGAGAACCACGCTCTCTCACTCTCTCTCTCGCTCTCTCTTAAAAAAAGAGAGGAAAAAGACATAATGCATATACTGTGTATTTGGTAATTGTCCCCAATTAGACACTGACACCTGACCATGTCTAAATTGTAGATAGATTTAGAGCAGTGTAGATCAAGTTAGTTGTGGTGCAGATGACTCCTATTAGGTTACAGAGGCTGGACAACCCGTGGTAGCGGCCGAAAGTTCTTTTGTAGGCTTTGTACTTGGGGTCTCGCTCTTTGAGTTTGGCGTAACCTTCCTTTTCGGCGCCCAGTCCGACCTGGTTACCAAGACCGTGCTCCGTCTCCACCTCCCTCATCAGGAACATCACCTCAGTGGCTGCCGGACCGAACCACTGAGCATTGAGACCCGCCGTCACCAAGGCCATAAAATACAAGCCCATCTGCAAAAGAACAGAATCCGAAGCCACATGAAGAACATTTGCCAGTATAATAACGTATACCGTCCGCCTTTCATGAGATCCAATTCAAGAAGCCGCATTGACAAAAACGACAAAAAGTTGCATCGCTTTGAAAAGCTGCGTGTGCTTATGTGATGCTTTACCTGCACAGTTTCATGTGCGTCCAGCAGCTCTCTTGGATGATACGCTGCATAAATTGCCAGACTGACAAAATGGCTTCCCAGCAGACAGTAGAAATAAACCGGGAAGAGTTTACTCTGCACCAGGCCAAACGTGTGCCGAGTCACCTGCCACACCAAAGCAAAACCTGCAGAGACCAGATGGAAAATATCAGGAAAAGGCGAGTGCACTAAAACGCTCCAATTCTTTGACTACGCTTACCTCCAATGAAGGAGACCCAGACCTGCATGCCCCAGGAGAAGGAAAGCACCAGGAGGTGTAACACTTTGACCAAGTCTGAAGGATCCCCCTCGGTTGCCATGGTGACCCAACGACGTCTGCATACAGAATATGGTTAGAGAGAGAGAGTTCATTCATCCACAAGGAATGAAAACAACACAATCAGGCGTGCCGAAGTAATATTAAAGATCTGAAAATTATTAAAAATAGTATCTAGACATGTCTTTTTGTACAGAAATAAAAAAGTCACAAAATGTGTTACATGTTGTCATTCGTTTTAAGTGAAGGGGTTCGTTAGTGTGCACCCTTTCTCAAATTCATGATCTTACAAACTGATAAACAGTTTGAATACTTGAGATAAAGTGTATCTCGCAGTCTGAAGTGTGTGCTCGCAACAGATAAGGATGGGTTGCATTGTAAAACAGACCGAGAACTGCACGAGTTTTTGATCACAGAAATGCATCCATCAGATGACAAGGTAAACGATCATAGCAAAGCAGTCAACCTGCACAGTGACATCAGTTCTATCTTGGAATAAATAGTTAAATAGTTAAAATGTAAAGCGCTTTCAGTACCCGAGGTAGAAAAGCCCTCTATTAGGGACAGCCCATTTACCAGTTTACGATAAGGGAGAGTCACTTGACCTGCATTACGTGGTTTTATTTGTGTTTCATAAGCACAGTACAAATTCTAATGATAATTCCGATTATTGATAGCAATAATCAGGAAATACCTTCTTTTCCAGCGTGATCTGGAGTTCCTGTTTTTAATCCAATGTGCAGCCGAACGACCACTGCCTCTGACTTCCGCAGTTCTCCACAAGCCAGCCTCCTGCAGTGACGCCAACCAATAGTATTCTTGCAAGATATTTGAACAACGCCCATTTCGACAGGTCTTCTTGAGCAAACCTTTCACATTATTTCATGTGTATATCGACGTAAGTCGCGAGGCGAATATTTATGTAAATATAACATATATGTCAATATATTTCAAATGAAAACACGTTATATACCGGTGATCGCTTTCATCAGAATTTGCGTGATAGGATTTTTGAGCTTCATGTTTTTTTCATGGTCACGTGGTAGCATTTAAGAGATGAACCGTAAGAAATTGAATTCAACGACCTCCGCGTTGTGTACGATATTATATATTCACAATGCTCTGAATTTTGAGGCCCAGTGACGTCACCAGGGGGGCTGGCACACCAGTTAGCAGTTGGTAAAACATACATTCAAAGAAATTACAGTATTTGCGTTGTCGTGGATTTCTCCAAATAATCAGGTTAAAGCAATTGATACCAGACCCACGGATCAACATCGTTGATCGGGAAATTATTTTCGAAGGTACGTTTGTTTTTCATCCTATTTCGATTCGTAAACAGTGTTGCTAACGAGCTCTTGCATAACATACAGTTTATTCATGTGTTCGCGGGTTAATAGAGCTTTCCATAGTATTTTATGATCTGCGTCTTTTTAATAAAATTTAGAAGCACGCCTCAATTGCATTTCTATTTCTCATTCCTACAGAACAAGTCGTTGTGCTCCGATCACGCACGATAGCACGCGTGGTTAACGTAACGCTGTTGCATTGTCATCCGCATTCCGGATGAACCATTCAAAACAGTCATCATCATCATCATCATCACACGATCATTATCGTAGTGATGCTTCCATATTTGAAGTCGCAAGCCATTGGTGTTCAGTTAACTCGCTAAAGTTGGCAAATGGCTAAATGGCGATATCCTTATTTTCGGGGCACCGCGAGCGTTTCTATTGCACATGCGGCGTGAGTTTATTACTCAGTGCAGTGCTGTATGTACATTTCATAACCACAGTCAAGTCAGTTGTGTGCACGTAAGATATGTGACTCAAGTTTCAAGCACGTTCCAAGTTACTGTGGAAAGAAAATGAAGCAAGTAGAATCCAGTTCCATTGTCATTGTTTGGGTTAATAAACAAGTCATAAGTCAACTCATACAAAACCTGCTCATTCGCAACATACTACGCAGAGTCACACGTGAGCCACTTTGCACTTAGTATCTGGAGTTGCGTTAGTAAGCTGTTCACAAAGAAATCATTCATATATGTATCCATTTTTTGAATGGACCCAAAGCAGTCTAATTATCACCCCCATCCGTGTATTCTGCTCACTTCTGATCTAAATTAAATATGTATCTGACAATAGGGTTCAGTCACCAACTATCAGTGAGCTAAAGAGTGACTGATGAAGTGAAATATTGGGTGGATCTCAATTCTCTTCATTGCAATGCTCCGAGCTCCTCAATACAATATTACGACTAACTACAACCAAACTTCAACCACAATAATAAACACTGATACCTTTCGACAATAATAATAATACATTTTATTTATAAGCGCCTTTCAAAACACTCAAGGGCACAATGTGAATAGACATTGAGGTTCATGGTTTCTTTTGCAACGGCAATGACAGAAATATTCTGACTCGCTTTTGCATTGCTTTCTCCACTGTAGGACAACAAAAATGGGGCGCAGAAAATCCAAGCGAAAGCCTCCTCCCAAGAAAAAAATGACAGGCAACTTGGACACCCAGTTCACGTGCCCGTTTTGTAACCACGAGAAATCCTGCGACGTAAAAATGTGAGTTCAGCTCTAAATGGCTTGAAAGCACAATGTTGACAAATACTATTTCTTTCCAGGGAGCGAACACGAAACACGGGAATCATTTCATGCAGCGTTTGCTTGGAGGAGTTCCAGACACCTATAACTTGTATCCTTTTTTTAAATGCTGTGTTTTCCAGACTTTCAGGTGAAATGTCTGTCAAGCTCCCGTTGGGGAATTTGATAGGAGTCATATCAACGTAATGTACACCAGGGCTGCCATTCGCACTCCCACAACTCACGAATGAACAATTTAAAGTCTTCAACTAAGCTAAACACCTTGGAGGAGAACGTCCGAGCACGAGAAGGAAAGCAAACATGGGGAGAAAATTAGAACTTTACACAGAAGGACCTCTTGCTCAGTTATACTTCCAGTTAATCAGATTCACTTGAGATTTATCGTTATCAGCCTGGTAATTTACAATTTCCTTAAGTTTTTTTTCCCAACAGATCTGTCGGAACCAGTGGACGTTTACAGTGACTGGATAGATGCGTGTGAAGCAGCCAATCAGTGATGATTTCTTCACCCCTCAACTGGTACAACAACGTGTTCTTGTTTCATCAGCACCAGAGATATACAGCGTTTACAGAAATGCCACCTTGAATGCTGAATCACATGTCAACGTTGCCGCCATATTGGAAGTAGAGCGGATGATGAGGATCATGTATTTGCCGCTTGGAGATGGAGCAAGCGTTTTACACTCGAAATCAGCTCTCACGGGATTACCTTTTCAAGGTGGGACTGATTAATGTTTTTTAATTGCATTGGACCATGATATCAGATTTGGGTGGGACAAATTGTTCGATAAGCAAATGATCATCATCGCGTGCCCTTTCAGTGATGTCGTGGCCAACGAACTAAACAACCAAACTGTCAAACTCTGCTTGAGGTAAAATCCAATGACCAATAGTCTGTTGCTAAAGGGCACCTCAACAGTAGCTTGGACACAGACTAGTATCTCGCCAACAACCGGTTACTGTCTTTTTTTTAGATTTGTCCATAGCGGTGGTTTGAGTTCAACTCCTTTCAGATGAACTACTGGAGTAAACGTTCATTGTCAACATATGGTGATTTAGTTGTCTTACCCGTTTCCCAAATGGATTTTACACCTATCTGAATGCGTAATGGAAGGCAATGCGTAGTTTGCCGGGCAGAGCTGCCACATCCAATATGGTGGACACACCTGACATCACAGCGATGCATCAACCTGCTCAGTGAGGCATCGACGTATACGGTGTATGTCTATGGCTATACGTAGTGTTTCATTTACTCTTGTTTAGATTTATGAGTAATTAGTATTTGCCAGGGATGTGTCCAAGGACCGGCAACCCGAGGCCAAGGCCAAGGCCAAGGACTTGACTCCCAAGGCCGAGGCCAAGGCCAAGGAATTGACTCTCAAGGCCAAGGCCAAGGACCAAGGACCGACCTTCGGTCCTCGAGCCGGTCCTCGAGGCCAAGGACCGGCTCGAGGAACACATCCCTGGTATTTGCTATATGTGTGTATCAAACCCGGCATTCCACATTTCTGTATGTAATTCCATGCAGTTATATTTTCCCTTATGCGTTGATATTTGTTATTTATCACTTCGGATTTTAATTGACATGCAACATGATATTTCCATCACTGTTACGATAGCCTATTATGCTCTCCACTGGTATTGCTTCTACTGTAATCGTTCTACAAAGTAGATTTTGATGATATCTTTTTAGGATCGTAGCCTTTTCATTTCTTTTGTTTTAGGATCAGTACAGTAAATCGGAATTTCAGTTTTCAAGTGTTTTTATTGCACAAATGTCATGTTTCGTGAAAGCCAGAACAGAAAAAGACATTTTAAAAATTGTTGTAACACAGCCTACTCGACAGGTGAAATTTTACCATGGACTCAACACTTTTATGTCTTTCAAATTGCACATATCATTAAATGCGCCGTAAAAATTCTTATCTCCATTGCTGAAATTCATTTTATTCAATTAAAGGAATGTTAAGAGTTGACTGACAGACAACTCGGTTCACATGCTTCTTGTCTTGGGTGACACTTTTAAAACACTAGATGGTGCTCTACTCCAAGCTGCGAGGCTACCCAATTGAGCACAGTGACTGCAAATCTCGACAATATGGAACGCCATCTGAAATATGCACTCCAGCACCGAGGGACTTGTGCTCAAAGAGCGTGCACATAGTCCTTCTTTCTTAAAATACGTATCCGGCAGCAGCTTGTGGCACAAATAGCAACATTACATTCAAGACATTTGGTGAGTTACAGCAATACGATATGGCATCTTTAAAAAAAAAAAGAGAGAAATTAGCGTGCGTTCTTAACATTTTTCAATCTGTTTTCTGCACACAAGTAAAGGCAGGTAATACGTAATTGAAACAAGAGCATCAAACTGGGTAAGGTCACAGGCACAAGGAAGTTATACGCATTGCAATGAGGTGACTCTATTCAAATTTTGAACGGCGTCCAATTTGCACACTTGCTATATCACTTCTTTTGGAGGTAACATTCCACACTCACCGCATCAACTTGAATCGCCTCCAACCAGGAATCTTGGGTCATTTGAAAAGTGGATGACTATCTGAAACATTGTCGGTGCTCACAAGAAAATGTCCATCTACTGCAAATCTATCCGTCCTGCATCCTCCACTCTTGTCAGTCTCGGCCACAAGGACGGGATTCCTTAGGCCTGTGGTCAGTAGCACCAACGCGGTCACTTGTCCAGGACAAAAAAAAAACAAAAAAAAAACTGCCAAATTCTGTCTTGTAATTACAACATAGAAATATAATGTTCTTAAAAAAATGATCTATAAATAGCAAAGATATTGAATATCAACCTCTTGAGTGTCTGGATCACTCTTGTAGTGATTAAATATGTTTAGGATGTAATACAGAAGTGGGCTCCAATACAGGATTAAAGTTAGGACGTAAAGTAAACACTATTGTTATACTCATGGAAAGACAAACATTTCCCAAGAGTAAAAAAAAAAAAAAAATGTTAAGGAAAAGACCGAGACTGGAGGCAACAATGACATCGAATCGGTGTTTAAATAACAGTCTGGGGGATGGGGTTGCTCATCACAAAGTTGTGGTTGTTTTTCTAAGGTTTAGCAAAGAAGTGGGGTTGGGTGGGGTGGGGGGGGGCGTTTGAGGCTGCTTGTGGTTTTCTTAGTCAGAGTACTGGTTGTAGCCATCAAAGTCGGCCTCGCTTCCGTTGTTGTAGTAGGTCTCGGCGGGGTTGGTGCAGTACTTGTTGTCGTAGACCTGGCGGGGGAGGCCGTAAGTGGTCATGCCCTGCTGCGAGGCCACTTTGTTGGTGCCCATCTGCAGTGATATAGTGGTGGTGTCACAGTTCTCCAGCTCCAGCTTCTTGTCAAAGATGTGCCTCCTTGTTCCAGGCGCCGTCATACCGGACTGGAGAGAGAGAGAGAGCACGGCAAAATAAACCATGAAGGCCGTTCGACACTTTGTGCAAAAAAAGACAACGAATCCGCTTGAGGTTGGATCGAAGCCTGTCGGCCGAGTCAACCGTCGTGTCTCCTCACCTGGTTGGCTCCTTTGTTCGTGCCCATCTGTAGACTGATGGTGGACTGGTCCATCGGGTTGTCCATGCCCATCCTGGAGTCATACAGGTGGCGTCTTGTGCCATAGGAGGTCATCCCTTTTTGACTGGCAAGCTTATTGGTGCCCATCTGGAGAGGATACAAAATAGGCGATGACCACCGTTATTCAATATAAATCCGTTTGAGCAAAAAATGAAATTCAGCATAACAGTGAGTCTGAGAACCATTTAAAAAAAAAGTGTTTCTATGCTGGTCCCCTTCCGAATGTCCCGAGACAAAATCAGGCCCATTGCGCCAAAAAGGTTGGCGAGCACTGGCCTTGGCGAGAGGCGGGACCAAGCGTAACTCGCAAGACGGCTTTGTAGCGCCCAAACGCGGGATACCGGGAGGATGCTGTTGCTGCTGACCTGCAAGCCGATGATGTTGCGTCCCTCCCTGAGCTTCTCTGGAGCAAAGCGACGCTGCTGCTTCTCAGCATACTTGACCCCGATGTCGTACTTGGAGTGGAACCCTTTCGACTTGGCCTGAGGACAAATGACAATGATAAAAAGGTTACAATGTATGCATGTTCTACAATATCAGTTTGATTCGTTGTTTTTGTTTACTGTATAATGTGTTTTGTATATTTGGTCATTACATCCCCATACCGGTGCAGTTCAAAACCACCAGCCCCCTCACAAAAAAAAAAAAAAAAAAAAAAAAGAAGCAAGTTCCGATGAAAGACAAACATCCAGAGAAGCAAACTTTGGAGTAATGTTGTTTATGCAGTGCCGCGAGGAGCGCAATGACCTCTACAGGAAGAGGTCACCTTTACACAAGGACATGGCGCAACGCTGGCGAGCAGCTCTTTGGGGTCAGAGTCAATTGCTTATTTGCATTTCGAAAAGAAAGCATCACAATGTCCAAATTCTGGAATGGGAGGTTTCAAAGAGAAGCCATCTATGTCAAAACTAAAAAGCAATTTCTAAAGAGAGGATGAGGTTTGAGGCACCAAGCGTATTCCGATTAAAACAATGTCCTGATATCCCTCCCCCAAAGATTGTCTCATTCCACAGGAAGAATAGTCCTAATGAGTTGTTTTGCCACCAGGCGAGTAAACTAGCGCTTGGTATGCAGGGTGGTCGTTCACTAGTCACGCTAGGCAATAACAACAACAGCACCCTGCTGTGACCTCCCCGTCAGCGGCATCAATAGGGAAACGCCACACCCCCCCCCAAAAAAAAAAAACAAAGTCTTTGAATTCAAAGTGAAACATCGTCAACAGATAAGAAAAGTCCAGTGGCCCCAATTGAATTTTTGCTTATTTACCAGAAGACTGAGAATCTACACACACACAAGTAGCAGTCAAATGGTTGATTTTTGCATTTGGGGAATAAAGAAAAAAAAACCCAGCAACAACATGAAAAGCGGCGCAACGCTAGCAAGGTTTGCCCTCACCATTCCTGCCAGAGCGATGAGAGTGGACTGGACCTGAGTATGGTTGACATTCTCAAACAAGTCGTTGGCCTCAAAGATGTCGTGAGGTTTCAGGCCGTACTCTGTGATGGCACGGACAAAATTGCCGATGTTTTCCAACTGCGGAAGACAAAAGATGATGAAAATTAGTCGGAAAATGGGTCGACGCTTGACATATTGCAAACGCATGAAAATAAGTGAAAAAAAAAAAATCAATCAGGAATATATTCTAACGCTTACGACAGTATCACAAATAGTTTGTGTCAAAAATTACAGACCAGGGGTGGGGGGACAAACCTTTTGCAGAACGAGAGCTACTTCTTGGCTACTGACAACAGCCAAGGGGCTACCGCTTTTGTTTTTGGAATGTGACGATCGATGTGAAGATTTTCAACAAAGGACCTCCATAGTACAGTCTTTTCGAAACATAGCGTACATCGCGAGTGAGTTGAAGCGGGGGGAGACCCAGGATGAGTTGATCGGCAAACCGCCACACCGACGGACAATCGTCAATGAAACTAACTCGGAATTGGAATGTGTGAACAGTTCAGAGTGACCGTGCGATACAACGGAGACCGCGCGACAACGGCGTCTGCCGTTACCTGGTGCCCGGT